TGAATTGAATAAACGGGCTGTTTTCCGCAATTCCACATCTAAGCGCGTATTTTGCATGTGGGCAGGAATAATGTATTTATTCGAGCCATGAAACCTCACCGAAGAAGTTCAACAGTCCTTTGATGTTGCAAGCAACTTCGGGGAGTGATCCCGACGTGCCGAGATGTTTATGGGAAGGTAAACCGACACGATCGGAGATAGATCAGACGCCAGGACCTATGGCTTTACGTGCTTTCCGAGGCACGGGCGTGAGACACCGTAAATTTCCTGACTCCGTGCTGCCAGGGAGAATTTCTTGACAGAAAACTCAAGTAATTGGTTTTTTTTGGTCCGATCCCGTTCGAACCTGGCACTTCATGATCAGCAGCCCAGTTTTCGACCACTAGACCAACGATTTATTTTAGTAAGATGAGATCAATACTAGTTATTACCTCATAAATGTGCTCCGTGGTAACTCCAGGTTTGAATCCAACTGGTACCAATTAAATTTTTAATTGCGATTTCAAGAGCTGATTTACTAAGCGCTTGGCAATAAAATAAAACATCGCGAGGAAACCTGTGTGTCTAATATGTGGTTTTTTTTTATAGGATAGGGTGACAAACGAGCACACAGTCCACCTGATGGTAAGTGGTTGCTGTGACCCATAGACATCTACATTTATCCTCAATAAAGAATCAAAATGATGATGAAATTAGATGGAATGCCTCTTTTTCAGTAAAAAGGGGTCTCCGATTCTCTACACTCACCGTATGAAACACAGCAGCATTGAGCTGCTATTTTACGCTAGTATTCTATGAGAGCGTGGTCCTTCCTCGGTCGAGCCGACCCATTCGTGCTACAACTATACTACTAATATAGCTGCAGCATGGCTCTACCACGTGAAAACGCACGTTGAGCCACGCTGCAGTCATTTTATAGTTTTAGCACGAATCGGTCGGCTCGACCGGGGAAGGACAGTCACGCGGACTGTGTTCTTCTTTTGTCATCCTTATTCTATAAAAAAAAACAACATGACTCATGCGTGACTTTGCCAGTATGTTCTGATAACATTAATCACGCATTATTGCAGCTAAATATATTTGAGTCATTGGCCGTTCAACTTCACAATAATGATGCAACAGTTGCCTTATAACTTATGCAATATGTTGTAACTTGCTTGTCGTCCGGTGACGGCGGCAGTCTTTACTCTAAGGGCGCTAGCCGTTGCCACACCTGACAGGTGCGAAAAAAAAATTTAAAAACACATTGTTTTTTTTTTCTATAATGTGTTTATTGCTAAAGTTTACGTCTCGCAGTTCTTTTTTTTTATAGGAAAGGACACAGACACAGGTGTCCTTATAGTTACGATAATTTTTTACTTCTATTAGTTGTGCGTTTTTAAAAATTCACGGCGGAGATACCACGGTTTAATGTAAAATAATTTTTAACCGAAAAACGTGAAAGTTGATAAAATAAATGGTCTTTGTTTATCTATCTTTTTTATATATCTAAATAACACCATATTCATACTAAGTCGCGAACATCATTTTTTTTACGTGGTAATACCATGCTTCAGCTATATTACTGGTATAGTTGTAGCACGAATGGTTCGGTTCGACTGGGGAGGACCACGCTTTCACAGAATACCAGCGTAAAATAACAACTTACACTGCTGTGTTTCGTATGGTGAGTGTAGAGAATCGGAGAGCCTTTTTACTGGAAAAGAGGCATTCCATATGTTAGTCCTCCCGGTGGACAACGCATCTGTATTTTGATTCGTAATGGAGGATATATATAGATGTTTATGGGCCACAGCAACCACTTACCATCAGGTGGACTGAGTGCTCGTTTGTCACCCTTTTATTAAAAAAAAAGTCAGGTTCATTCTGCCAGGCTAAGGAAATACTATTTTAGTCTAGGCAAATCTAATTTGCCCTAAAATCGGATATGGCCGGTAAAAACTGGCTTTTACTGCAAATTCGTTCAAAACTAGATTTTACGTTTAATTCAGTAAAAATAAGCATTCAATAGGGAGGGTTGCGGCAGGGGGTGCTCCTTTCTCTCTCCTTCTATTTCAAGAAAATTTTAAATAAAATGCTTTGTTCATTTTGCCACTCAAATATGAAATTTTCAAAAAATTATATATATTTGCGAGCGGTGGAATGTGCACGGGGGCTTCCCTCCCCACCCCCTCCTATACCCCTTCCATTGTAATATATGGCCGGCCACGTACATTCGTAATTCCGTTTTGCTTGCAAGATTTCGAAAGGAAGACTACTGTATATGTGGGGTTGTTATAAACTTATTTGCTTAATTCCGCGTAAAGAAAGAAAATGATGTGTCCTACCCAGTTTTAAGGGGACCTCCCACCCTCCCTCAATCCCGCGCACTATATCCGTCGCCGTCAATCCCAGCACTACCACACTAGGCACGACACACCACTCTCAAAAATACGACACGTGTTTCGCCTCTACACGAGGCATCCTCGAGCGAAGTTGACTCTGCGGAGGCTGGCCGCTAAGACTTACTAACTTAGAATCTGAATACCGAAACGGAATTCCGTATATATGTGGCCGGCCTTAAAAGGTGGTTAATCTAAACTCCTTTCCAAATTTCGGTCACGGCGAACTATCTCAACGGAGAAGCACCATCTGTGCCGCCACATCTGCACTCTATATTGCCTCACTCTCATAGTCCGATGGGACGGGAATCCGACAAGACCGAAGAGAGATCAGGCGCAAGACCAACGGCTTTACGTGCTTTCCGAGGCACGAGCGTGAAACACCGCCAATTTTCTGACTCCGGGCTCTCACTGAGAATTTCTTGACGGAAACACCCAGTAAATGATTTTGGTCCGACCCGGGATTGTACACGGGACCACAAGATCACCAGGTCCAACCACTAGATCTATTCAATCTATGTGTCTCTACTCTGTACTCTCAATAGAGATTGTCTCTATTGAGAGTACAGAGTAGAGACACGCTGCAGCTATATTATGGTTGCACGAACGGGTCGGCTCGACCGGGGTAGGACAACGCTCTCACAATATCAGCGTAAAATAGCAGCTCAATGCTGCAGAAGCTTGCTACTGACGCTTCAGAAGCGTCAGTCTTCTAACACAAGAATTTTAAGCTTACCAGAAGTGATTAAAGGGAATATTAGTAATGTTAAATTGCATTACTAGTATTTAAAAAAAATGCTGTGTTTCGTATGGTGAGTACAGAGAACCTGAGAACCATTTCACTGGAAACGAGGTATTCCATAGCTTAGTCCTCCGGCTGAAAACGCATCTGCGTTTTGATTTTTAATCGAGGATAGATGTAGATGTCAAGGCTACACAGCATCTACTTACCATCAGGTGGACTTTCTGTTCGTTTGACACCATTATTATCTTATAAACACAAAACATTCGGACACTCAAGTTACTCAATCACTTTTCTTCCCTTTGATTGAACCTAACGCATATTTTTTTAAATATAAATGCCATACATTTCTATAACAACCTTGGCAGCGGCACAAAACTTACGCGCTATCAACACGGGAGTTGGCATCTGTTGTTTTTTTACGCGGGAAAGTTTTCGAGAAACAAACACGTTGACAGTGCTACATTTGCCAGAGTCTAAAAATAAAATTCCGTTGCTTTTGATTGATACGCGTTATTTTTTTAAGGCGACATTGCAGTGATAACCGATGGGGAAAAAGGATCTCGAGTGGCGGCCTCGTACCAGCGGACGGAGTGTAGGGCGTCCCCCCACTAGATGGAGTGACGACCTGGTAAGACATGCAGGAAGTCGATGGATGCAGGTGGCTCAGGACCGTGCTTTGTGGCATTCCTTGGGGGAGGCCTATGTTCAGCAGTGGACTTGTGATAGGCTGTGATGATGATGATGATATTGCAGTGCGACTTTTTACTTTATTCTTTTTTTTTAATAAAACACTAGGATTTTGTTCTATATCGTAGGAGTAGGTTACATACATACATTTCACAAGGACAAACATCCAGAGCCAAATGGAAGTTCGTGGTCTCTGCCTACCCCTCTGGGTGACAGGCGTGAGTGTTTATATATAATATATACTAGAGCGATGTATTTTTAACGTACCTACAAACAGAGAGCGTCTTTATCTATCGATGTTGTACGGGTGAACAACCACTTTGATGTATTATTGTTAAATACGCCTACGCGCCCGAGACACTTCGGTTTTTACGAAAATAAAAAGCGTCGGCAAGGTCGAGGTAGTTTGGAGGTCGTAGGCAAGGTCGATTCTCGTATAGTACATGCAATAGTAAACTAATTATTATTTTTTCTTTTTAAATTTCAGTGGTGTTATCGGTTTTCCTTTGTCATTCCCTGTATGACGCGCCACTACCGTTACTGTGAAGCCTATTACAGTCCACTGTTGAACATAGGCCTCCCCCATAGATTGCCTCATAGGGGTGGATTTTGCCATAGTTGTAATGTTACTGTTGGTTTAATAATTTCACCTCTCAGTGGGTCATGTGCTCCTGGTAGATTATCTTCTATACATCCATCCATTACAGCCTATTAAAGTCCACTGCTGAACATAGGCTCCCCCATAGATTGCCTCATAGGGGTGGATTTTGCCATAGTTGTAATGTTACTGTTGATTTAATAATTTCACCTCTCAGTGGGTCATGTGCTCCTGGTAGATTATCTTCTATATGTCCATCCATTACAGCCTATTAAAGTCCACTGGTGTACATAGGCATCCCCCATAGATTGCCTCATGGGGGAGATGTTTGCCATAGCTGCAACATTTGGCAAGCGAGTTGGCAAAAAAAATGCAATGAATTGCAATGAACAATTTCATCGGTGCCGGCGGGGATCGAACCCGGGTTGCTCGCGTACTGTGAAACTTACAGTGAGCGCTAATCATCTGAGCTACCACGGCTCAAGCTTATAACACCCCTCTGTTTACAAAAATAGGTATGTGTCTATGAGCCAAAGCATGCACTAAATTTAACTTATTTTTTTTTTAATAAATCTTTTACAGATTTAATATGGACTCGTTCTTCAGTCTGTTCGACCCTTCAGAGGCTGGGCAGAACAAACAAAGTCACAAGAAGCAACAGAAGCCGGACATTGAAGGCATTAAGAAAAATCCTGACGCACCCAAAGGTAGGGATGCACAAGTGTAAAAAATATATCGATAGATATCGTATAGATTTTTTAATAAAGTATCGATATAAATCCTGTTATAAATATCGATCTGACGATATATTGTCATGTTTTGCATGATGTAGAATAAAGGCATAAAATTTTATTACTGACGGTTTTGGACAACGAAAAAATAATGATAACAGCACATGTTGATGCTTTCGTAACTGCTTTTGGTGCTTAACGTTTTGTTGATGAATACAAAATTTTAAAATATATCGAAATTGATACGAATGAATACGTGGTAGAGCCATGCTGCAGCTATATTAGAAGTACAGATGTAGCACGAATGGGTCAACTCGACCGGGAAAGGACCACGCTCTCACAGGATACCAGCGTAAAATAGTTAACTGCTGTGTTTTGTGTGGTGAGTGTAGAGAACCACAGACCCCTTTTACTGGAAAAGAGGCATTCCATCTTAGTCCTCACGGGTGACAACGCATCTGCATTTTGAGTCTTTATTGAGGATGTACATGTCTATGGGCCACAGCAACCACTTACTATCAGGTGGGCCTCGTTTGTTACCCTTATTCTGTAAAAAAAATCAGTTTCAAGATTCGACGGCTCCGTGGCGTAAGCTTAGCAATGACTTGCAGCGCCGCGTGTTCGAATCGCGCACAGTACAAGTATTTATATTACCCACAAATAATTGTACCGGGTCTGGATGTTTGTTCTTGTGAAATGTATGTATGTAAACTGCCCCCACGATACAAGAGAAAAATCCTAGTGTGGAGCTAATGTTTTTTACAAATAAAAAAAAAACGAAGATAAGATTAGCTAAAATTATTTTTTTTTGTTAAAGGAGGACATATTTTCTGCCGACTTCCAAAAAGGAGACGGTACTCAATTCGACTGTATGTTTTTTTTTATGTGTGTTACCTCATAACTCTTTACTGGGTGAACCGATTTCGATGATTCTTTTTTTATATGAAAGCTGGTACTTCTCGTGTGGTCCCATATGAATTTCATCAAGGTCAGACCAATAGTTTTAAGTTATTCTTAATAACTTACATTGAAGTCGGCTGTACAAAATTTTTAATTTTAAATTATAATCATCTCTAGTAAGTTGATCTTGTAGTTTGAAGTTGATACAAATTGCGTCGCCACGTCCATCGTGCTGTCTCTCATTAGTAACAGTTCGTTTAATTTCGGCGCCCGCTAGAAACTTTCTTACTTTCGCCGAACGTGGTTTTATTTGTCCGAAGGTGGTGAAGTAGTAGCTGAAACCGAAGTTTCAGTCGAACACTGTCTATACATAGGCTGCACTAAAAGTATCGGGAATGGAATATTTCCACTGTTCCTGTCATATTAAAATCTTTTTAATTGAAAACTCCTTGGTTTTAAAAATCGAATACCATTTATTTATTTAGAAAAAGAATCTCGGTCTTGTCACAAGGTTTTGTCAAACTTGTTTAGTCGTTGAGAAAATGGAATTGACTCGAGAAAATTCAAGAGCGATTATTTATTATGACTTTCGAAGTGGTTTAACACAAAAACAGTGTGTTGACCGGATGATTTCTGCATTTGGTGATGAAGCCCCATCCAAAACCACAATTTATCGCTGGTTTGCTGAATTTCAACGTGGACGTGTCAAGCTCAGTGATGATCCCCGTCAAGGTCGTTGAAAACGTTGATGCTGTGCGTAAGTTGATTGAGGAAGAGCGACATGTGACATACCGCGAAATTAAAGCAAGTTTAGACATTGGCATGAGTCAAATACAAATAATCTTGCATGAACAATTAGGTGTAAAAAAAGTTGTTTTCCCGATGGATACCGCATTCGCTCTGTGAAGAGCAAAAAGCGGCTCGCGTTACTTGGTGCGTCAGAACTCTCGAAAGATTCCACGCGGGATCCTCAAATGCTGTATACAACATCGTATCAGGTGATGAATGCTGGGAATACGCGTTTGAACTCGAAACATAAAACCAGTCACGAGTTTGGGTGTTCGAAAATGAGTTAAAGCCAACAAAAATTGTTCGTTCACGGAGTGTTGCAAAAAAAAATGGTGGCCACGTTTGTCTCCAAAACCGGCCATGTTAAGACTATTCCTTTTGAGGGACAAAGAACGGTTAATGCAGAATGGTATGCTAGCATTTGTCTGCCACAGGTCGTTTCTGAACTCCGTAAAGAGAACTAGAATAGAATCTAGACCATTCTCTAATCAACTTAATCACACACAAAATTTCATCAAAAGCGGTCCAGACGTTTCGGAGGTCTTCATTCACATACACACGGACAGAAGAATTATATATAATATGCATGTATTATACATATAAACCATCCTCTTGAATTATTCTGTCTATTGATGAAAGCCGTATCAAAATCCGTTGCGTAGTTTGAAAGATCTAAGCGTACATACGGCGGCAAGCGACTTTGTTTTATACTGTGTAGAGAAAAATTATTCACTGATTGCTTAGAAATTTTGACATATTTTGAGCCATAGCAACGAGTGACCAGAACCAGATACAGCTAGTAAATAATAAAATATTAGTGTTTTTTTTTTAAATAAAATGAGGTTCCTTTTTAAAAGGCCGGCAACGCGTCTGCAATTCCCCTGGTGTTGCAGTTGTTCATGGGCGGCGGTAGTCACTTACCATCAGGTGAGCCGTATACTCGTTTGCCCCCTCTCCTATAAAAAAAGTGATAAACGAGCACACAGTTCACTTGATGGTAAAGTCTCTAACATCTATCCTCGGTAAAAAGGGTCTCCGGTTCTCCAAACTCACCATACGAAACACAGCAGTGTTAAGCTGCTATTTTACGCTGGTATTCTGTGAGAGCGTGGTCCATCCCCGGCCGAGCCGGTTCGTACCATTCATGTTACGACCGTAAACTTCTGCTCTTGGCTTTACCACGTATAAAATAGGCATATACGAGCATTAGCGTTCAAGTTGCTAATGTCAGGCACTGCGATCGTCAGTCCGTCTGTCAGACGTGAAGATGGAGGCAAATCTCATTACTGGAGAGGCCCGTGTACTAATCTATAGACTTTTCATCATCATCATTACAGCCCTACCCAAGTCCACTACTGAACATAGGCCTACCGCATAGATTGGCTCATAGGGGCGATTTTGCCGTAGTTGTAATGTTACTGTTGATTTAATAATTTCACCTCTCCGTGGGTCATGTGCTCCTGGTAGATTATCTTCTATACATCCATCCATTATAGCCTATTAAAGTCCACTGCTGAACAGAGGCCTTCCCCATAAATTGCCTCATAGGGGAGATTTTGGCAGAATTGTAATGTTACTGTTGATTTAAAAATTTCACCTCTCAGTGGCTCATGTGCTCCTGGTAGATTATCTTCTATACATCCATCCCTTACAGCCTATTAAAGTCCACTGCTGAACGTAGGCCTCCCCCATAGATTGCCTTATAGCGGCGATATTTGCAATAGTTGGCACGTTTGGCAATCGGGTTGCCAACCGCAGTTTTTTTATTGTTTTGAGTTGTTGTTAGGAAGATGCTGCTGCCCATCTCCTGGTTTGCTTTCCTCTGTCGATTCTTCCGACATCCACGAGACGATATAGGGTATTGGATATTCTTCCATCGTCACTACACGGTGTAAGGTTGTCCACTACCCCCATAGGTGGACATTTCCTTATTATAAAACCGTCTCAGTATTTACGGGAGGCTTGTGTCCAGCAGTAGGATGTAACTTTACTTTACTATAAATAGGAAGGAGAAAAGGTAGAAGATCACACGGCAAGCACGAAACACTGCCAGAGGAGTCCTCTTTCCTGTGCGAGCCGGACTTGAGCACAGAGCTATTGGTCAAGGATTGCAGCTATATAGAGAATTACATAGAAGTCAACAAGAAAGATGATGGTGAGTTCTCATTTTTTTAAAGAATCATAAACGAACACAAAGTCCACCTGATGGTAAGTGGGTGCCGTGACCCAGACATCTACGTTATACATACATACATATATTAAGAATCAAAATGCAGCTGCATAATCATCCCTGAGGACTAAGATGGAATGCCTTGTTTCTAGTAAAAAGGTTCTCCGGTTCTCTACACTAACCATACGAAACACAGCAGCATTAAGCTCCTATTTTACGCTGGTATTCAGTGAGGGTGTGGTCCTACCCCGGACGAACCAACCCGTTCATGTTGCAACCACAAAAGCGTAGAAATCCGGAGACCCTTTTTACTGGAAACGAGGCATTACATCTTAGTGTTCAGGGGTGACCACGCATCTGAATTTTGATACTTAATATGAAGGATTTTACGTGGTAGAGCCATGCTGCAGCTCTATTATACTAATATAGTAGTATAGTTGTAGCACGAATGGGTCGGCTCGACCGGGGAAGGACCACGCTCTCACAGAATACCAGCATAAAATAGCAGCTTGAGACTGCTGTGTTTCTTATGGTGAGTGTAGAGAACCGGATACTAATTTTACTGGTAGAGGCATTTCATCTTAGTCCTCACGGGTGACGACGCATCTGCATTTTGATTCTTTATTGAGGATAAATGTATATGTCTATGGGTCACAGCAACCACTTACCATCAGGTGGACTGTGTGCTCATTTGTCACCCGATCCTATAAAAAAAAGGATGGATGGAGATGTTTATGGGTCACAGCATCCACTTTCCATTACTACAACTGTGGCAGAATCCCCATGTGAGGCATTCTATGACGGAGGCCTGTATTCGGCAGTGGATTTTTATAGATTGTAATGAATGGATCTCTTTAGCTGCGGTCTTAAGAACCATTCCTCCATTACAGCCTATAAAAACCCAGTGCTTAGAATAAGGCCTCCCCCATAGATTGCCTCATAGGAGGGTCATTTGCCATAGTTGCCACGTTTGGCAATCAGATTGGTAATCTCAGTTTTTTTATCTTTAGTCGTTATTAGGAAAACGCTGCTGCCCATCTCCTGATTGATTACCCTCTGTCGCCTACATGGTCGCCTGGTACTACACTCACGGGACGATATCACAGTCTCGTGGATCGGAAACTGCCATATTATAAGTACTTGCCGGAAGCCGTGCTCGAAAATGACCGTGTCAGGTCCCGCGTCAGGTCCCGCGTCTACTGGGACCGGGCCATCATTACAGACAGGCCTATTCTTGCGAATATGCCTGATATTGTGCTGATGGATCGGGCACAGTCAAGGGTATTTTTAGTCGACATTACTATTCCTTATGACGAGAACCTCGTGAAAGCCGAAACAGATAAGCTCACAAAATATCTGGACATGGCTCACGAGGTTACCGACATGTGGGGTGGTCTGCCGACCGAAATTATTCCTGTGGTCGTGTCTGCGAACGGGTTAATCCCAGTCAGCCTCTCGGGTCATCTGAGGCGGCTGGGACTCTGTGACGGCTCCAGGCTCAAATGCAGAAGGCGGTGCTCGTCGATACCGCCCGCATCGACCGCCGGTTTCCTTCCCTTTCCCCCTAATTTATTATATGTATATGTATTTTTACCATGTTCTTTTACAATTATATATTTATACTGCCCAACCAGATGAGAAAACTTTATAGATACCCCACAATAATAATAATTTTATGTCAGACCATGGTCCGTATATTGTTGGTAATGTTGTTGTTAGTAACAATATTGGCTTAAAACTATGTTACTATTGTAAGTTGTTACACATTATTTTAATCCAACGTAAGCACACGCCCAATTTTCTTTTAATGTATCATTTATTTAACAGATACCAAAGCGGACGAGAAGAAGCCGAAACGCCGCAACTCCGGCCGTAAATATAGGAGGAAAAAGAACAAAATTTCACCGGGCAAGGAGCTCGCAGCCAATACGGCTTGGGGTGAAGACCCCGATCCAATCCCGGACCCGACTAGCTGGAACAACCAATCCTCAGTGCCCAAAATAAGCGATGACAACATCGGCAAGAACGTTAACGACTTGGGGAAAGAGGACTTCAAGAGAAACAGAAGGAAAGACGATTTTGAGATGGTGACCAAAGAGAAAAGCGGTTACTTGGACAGGGCCGTGTATCATAACGTGATAGATAAGCTGGAAAAGGTTAACTTAAAGGATGAGATGTACCTCGCCGGTGATTTAAACGACGAGGACCTGGAGAACGACTTCTTCTACAGCTCCGACGATATGGAGGGTTACTTCGATGATGACACGTAAGTGTTGCTATGCAAAAAACGATAGACGATTTTATTTCACAGAGTTTGACATTGAGAATGAGTTAAAAAGATTGGTCGCGACTAGTAAACATGAAATATACAAAAAGCAAGTGTGTGTGTGGGTGCGTGTGTCCGTACGCCCGTGCGTGCGTCCGTCCGTCCGTCCGCGTAGATTGCGCGTATTTATCGTAAGAGATAAAAAAATAGGTATCTTAAAATAGCAGACTGTAACTGTGGCAAACAAACTTGAAAGAACAGCTCCTGTTCCACGAGATAATAAATCCACTGAAAGACAGTCACATTTTTTTTTTCATACATATGACAGTTACCTTTATTAGAATAAGATAAAAAATGGTGATGTTAGAGTTGTCACAAGCTCTGTCTTTTTCTGGCATAGGTTCAACACCTTAGTTACAAAAGGAAGTACCTACCAAGACTTTATGTATTAGACTACTATTTTGTAACAGGTTTTTGGAACTGTTAGTTATGCGAGTTTACCTGTTACAGCCCCCTCCTAGTGCGTGCGTTTGTTGTTTGTTTATTTATTCATTCATCCCAAAGACTGTATTATATTATATTATATTATATTATTATACTATTAAGAGTCGCATTTCAGGACAAAACTGTGTGACAGCTGTGGATCGCACGGGTGCGGGCGAGTAGTTATAAGTAGCGGCACGAAATTCTAGCGGTGAATGTTATAGCGCATAACTTGCGCTGATTGGCTCGTTCGTATCGTTCGCACGCGCTGATTGGCTCGTTCGTATCGTTCGCACGCGCTGATTGGCTCTCCAGTCGCATTCGTGCAATTAAATTCGTGCGCGTCCCCTCCATGTTTCGTTTAGCGCTAGACTTACGTGCCTCGACTTGTAACGTGGTAAATATGCCACACAGCTGTTGTATTACTGTTTTTGGATAAACATGAAGTAAAGTTATCAGAAATAAACTTCAAATCACGTTGACAAAGTGCGCGCTTAAATAATAACAACGTTTTCTCGTCAAGTCACTTTAAACAAAAGCAATGTTAGATATTGTCAAAAATAACGTTCGCGGCTTACAAAACAGATAACTAGTCTTCCCGCCCGATTAAAGGAGTTACGGAGAATTGACCGTAACTTATTTCGCAATGTATTAATGCCGCAGAGACCGTATGGTAGTATACACAGAAGTCTTAGGTTCGTCCTATTTTTTCCTTACGGTAAAAAAGTCACCCGATATAGGTAAGTTTTTTTTATAGGATAGGGTGACAAACGAGCACACAGTCCACCTGATGGTAAGTTGTTGCTGTGACCCATAGACATCTACATTTATCCTCAATAAAGAATCAAAATACAGATCTTAGTCGTCACCCGTGAGGACTAACATGGAATGTATCTTTTCCAGTAAAATGGGTCTCCAGTTCTCTACACTCACCATACGAAACACAGCAGTATCAAGCTGTCATTTTACGCTGGTATTCTGTAAGAGCGTGATCCTTCCCCGGTTGAGCCGACCCATTCGTGCTACAACTATAATTACTAATATTAGCTGCAGCATGGCTCTACCACGTGTAAATACTAATCAGTAAGACTTGTGTAAAATTAGTTTTTCTCATATTTTTCCAGAACCTCGGACTCCGAGGATTCGGGGGAAGAGTGCTACGGGAGCTTACCTCCAGAGCCCCGTTTCGGGAACGTTGAATATAAGCTACAACTGGTATCACCGTGCGAACGACGATTCCAGCATTTGGTCACCCAGGTACGTCAAAGCCGCGTATAGATTACGCGCTCCAAAAGTTGGAACATTGGTTTTTTTTTATAGGATAAGGGTGACAAACGAGCACACAGTCCACCTGATGGTAAGTGGTCGCTGTGGCCCATAGACAACTACATTTATCTTCGATTAAGAGTCAAAATGCAGATGCGCAAAATGACTAAGATGGAATGCCTCGTTTCCAGTAAAAAGGGTCTCCGGTTCTCTACACTCACCATACGAAACACAGCAGCGTTAAGCTGCTATTTTACGCTGGTATTCTGTGAGAGCGTGGTCCTTCCCCGGTCGAGCCGACCCATTCGTGCTACAACCGTAATATAAATGCAGCATGGCTCTACCACGTATACGCTCCAGCCGCGCGAAATGGATACCGCCTTGGAGCGTGCGCCAAATTGTTCGTTGGAGCGCTCGAAAGTGTTGCGGGTCGCTCCTTCTGGTTTCGGTTTTTTACCGCGCGTCAAATAGTTTAAATTTTGGCGCGCGCGCCAGTTGGAACGTTTGTTTTCATTATCCGTGTGTTCGTTGCGTTCCGAGCTATGGATAACCAAAGTTGCCGTAATTTAATACAATTATATAGTTTGTTGTTGAACGGTCAAACACTGGAGCGGCTGCCGCTTGCGCCTGGAACACTTAGTTGATACATTTGGAACATTTGGAGCGCGTACAATACGTGAACAAAAGAAAAGCATGAACAAAGTACAAACAAACTATGTATAAAATTAAAAAAATAAACAAATTATTTATATTCTAAATCGAATCGTCTCTCTTTCTTAAAGAAAAATTTGATTACGTCCGCGTACAATGTTGTTGAGCGTTTTAATTGTACCAATAACTGTTTATGTGGATAGGAGCTGTATTTTCTCAACAAAGTTTAAAGATTTTACCTTTTTCTCGCGGATTAGCACTTTAACACACTTCATCACAAGGAACATTATTAGCCCTAATTTTCACTAAAAGCCTTTAAGAAAAACATTAAAGTAAACACACAGAGTACAAACATTGAAATGTGAAGTAAAGTTGCAAAGCGCTCGACTAACTTCACAATAAAAGTCGGGCCTTTGGCTCCATACTAATTTCTATATAAACAATCGTAGTATCGTATTTCGTATTTCATTATAGAATATTTTGCCACAGGTTAGAAAGGGAGCGATCGTCTTCTCGAAAGCACGGTAAAAGCCCACGCGTGCGAGAGAGACAACTAATCGCTTAACTTAACTCCTTTTTTATGACATCAGTATCGTGCAGTTTTGCCGCTACGATTAATGAACTGTGTAGATCAGAGGAGCGCGCGGGAAATTTGAAATAGTTTGAAACAGTTTACGAATTATTTTATTAGTTGATATTATTGATTGAGCAATTTGATAGGGCAAGTCCGCCTTCTCGACTTCTATGGAGGCTTCGCTACCGTATATAAGATAATCTACCAGGAGCACATGACCCACTGAGAGGTGAAATTATTAAATCAACAGTAACATTACGAGTATGGCAAATATCCCCGCCATGAGACAATCACGGAGCAAATACAAAGAGCAGATGTTGTAATTAGATTTCACTATGTAACAACGCGTGACATTTTACGGGGTGAGGGGATGTTCAGCCCCGCCCACTTTACTATTTTCCATCTACCGATAAATAGTAAAACTACTCGCATCGTTCAATATCAATGTTGCAATGTAGTTTAGCTACATTGACGATAGATGGCGGCCTGTATCCTAAATGATTATAAAAACTATAAAAATAATATTTTGGCGATTAAAAATTATTTACGACTAAATGCAAAACAAATTTCAACATCTTCGTATGATTATTTTACCAATACTGAGCTCTACGTAGTCAAATTTCGGGAACGTCGAAAGGAGTTTTTGAAAACTAAAATACAATTAGATTACTATGTCCGACCGATTTGGAGGTGGTTTTAAAATTGAATAATATTCAAAGAGTCCGTTTGTGCGCAGACATTCGACTCATCAACTAAGTACTAGGAACTTACATAGAAATGCTGATGCATTAGTTTTATTGCTTAGTCTAAACTAAATAATACAATATTATATATTTTAATATTTTGGTCTAAAACAGTGGGACGGGGTGTATCCATAACTTCTCCCTCCCTAAGAGCAAAATTATCGGTAATATCATTTTTGATGTTTTTACGATAATTTTGGATGTAAGGTATACATTTTTTTCTTAACACGTATATAAAGAACAATAAGAAACTTAAAGCTAGGAAATTTAAAATTACATATGTTAGAACACTGAATTAGAGTATTTTTCTCTGTTGAGAGCACTTAAATCTCTGTAATAGATTTCACTGTGTTTTAAAGCATTTGACATATATTACACTTCGTCCAAGTTGACACTATTCATGTTAATTACGCGTGTACTTGTTACATTAATATTTGCACGTAAATGAGATAAGTTGATGACTGAAACTGCTGGCGCCGCTTCGTATTCCGTGTAAACACAGTGGTGATGAATAGAAGTACCGTGTATCTCCAGGTCACAGGGCTCATCGCTGGTTAGTATATAGGTTCCAAAAATTGGTTGTTTGGTGATCTCGTTACCGCAGTGCTTGGTCAGCGTCGTTTTTAGCTTTGTAAAAACAATCCAATTTTCTGCTTTAATTCGCTGCACCTTAACGTCTTCAATTGTAATAGCGTGTTGTGTGCAACAAGTAAGATTATTCTTAAATTTCATTAGCTGTTCTATGCAGGTAAGTCCAGGGTAGAGGGGTCTATTTTCTTTTTTTTTAATGAGAAAAAGAGAAAATAATGGAGGTTAACCCGAGCGACTTCACGACGTGCTATCGACAGCACTGCATTCAAGCAACTCCCGTTCTGCGCTCGCGCCCTCTTCCAAAGCCACTCCGCTCGCCCGAACGTCAAAACCGGCATGGCACCGAGCCGAGCGCCCTCCGGCGTCAAATCTTGAAACCAGCGTTTGGGCGTGAACACCATGACAATATTAATATTTGATTTGGCTTTGTATCGATAGCTTCGTGTAGTATTGGTATTCCGTTTGACTCTAATTCTACGGCTGAATGCACGGTTTGGGACTTACTAGATTCTGAAGGTGATCGAATTGGATATTCGGAAACCTTTTCTGAACTACAAATTGATATTGTGTCGGAAAGAGACATAGGAATCGCGGAAACAGTACTTGAGTCTGATATTGTCACAATGGACGTAGTGTCATTATGTCTTTTATTTTGAGTGTTTAGTTTTTCAATTTCCTTAACTACGTCTTTCAGATGCTCCCTAAGCTTATACTCTTTGCTGTCGAAATAAACGTCCATCGAATGACCTTCGTCGTCTGAATTTAAGGCATTAACTTTAATTCTGGATAGGGCATCGGCATTTGTATTTTGTTTTCCATTTTTATAAATGATTTCAAAATCGTACTCCTGTAGTCGTAATCGCCATCTGGTAAGCTTACTGTTTGGTTCCTTTAATGAATAAAGCCAAAGTAAAGGTCGGTGGTCAGTATAAATTACAAATTTTCATCCGTAAAGGTACGTTCGGAAATGTTTTACGGCCCAAATAACAGCTAAAAGTTCGCGTTCGATGGTGCTGTATCTACTTTCAGTGTCACTAAGCGTCCTACTAGCGTATGCAACAGGTCTATCACTACCAATAGGTCCCTGTGATAGAACTGCTCCTAAAGCTATATTAGAGGCGTCAGTCGTCAAAATAAAGGTTTTATCGAAGTCCGGGTACTGTAATAAGGGTACACTCGTTAGTATTTCTTTTCATTTTTCAAACGCATTAATATATTTTTCATCGATGATAATTTTATTTCGCTTTTTAAGGCATGCAGTTAGAGGTTGTGTGATCTTAGCAAAGTCCTTTATGAAGCGTCGATAGTACCCTACCAGTCCTAAGAAACTTTTAATTTCCGTTGTTGTCTTAGGTATAGGAAAATTTAGCACAGCATTGATTTTGTCTGTGTTCGGACGTAGCCCCTCTTTTGTAATGGTATGTCCTAAATATAAAACCTCCTTCCTTAAAAATTCAGACTTGTCTAATTGAACTTTTAGATTAGTCACCTTAATTCTGTCAAATATCGTCCGTAACTTTTGTATATGTTCTTCCAGACTTGTCGAAAACACTATTATATCATCTAAGTATACCATGCAGTGTATTCCCTGTAATCCCTTCACTGTCCATGGTCCGCTGAAAAGTTGCAGGAGCTGTCTTCAGGCCAAATGGCATCCTAAGAAATTCATAATGACCGTTTTGAGTGCTATAAAGGCTGTTTTTTGCCTGTCTTGTTCATCTATTTCGATTTGGTGATAACCACTTGCTAAGTCGATTGTACTGAAATCAGAACTCTTCCCTAACTTGTCAAATAAATCTGTTATGTTTGGTAGTGGGTATTTGTCATCTATGGTTATATCATTCAAAAGTCAATAGTCTATAATCATTCGAAATTTAATTTCACCAGATGCATCCATTTTTTTGGGTACAAGGTGTACGGGAGCATTCCATGGCGAATGTGACTCCTGAATAACATTGTCCTTCAATAACTTGTCTACTTGCCTATTTATCTCGTCTACTTGCATTGGTGCTTGACGCTAGGGTCTGACATAAATTGGGTCTTCATTTATTGTGCATATCTTATGTTTGATTTCGTTAACGAAAGTCAGTGGTAATTTGTCACAGTAAAATATGTCTTTAAATTCTTGACAAAGTCTAAAAATTTTGTCGCGTTCCTCATCGTTAGTGTGATTAAGCCTTAGTTTAAGTAGGTTTTCCTCGAGTATCTTATCGATCTCTAAGTCTCTATAGGTATTGGTAAAGTTTACGTCACATTGAGAAGTCGTATCATACTTAGTAACTGTAAAAGGTTGTGTTACTGTCAATATCATTTCTTTTTCAAGAACGTTTTGTATGACGGTTGCGGCATAACCGTTAACGCAATTTACCAATGCACTAGGCATTCGTACACCGCTGGCAAATTCCTTATAATTAAATTGCCTCTCCAGAACATTGGTCTGTTGGCAATTTTACGCGCTACTCTGATCGTGGTGGTAGTGTTATAACATAATTTAATTTATTATTAACTATTGGTATGCAAGTTGTTTTGGTTTTAAGTACAAGGTCTTTAAGGTCTATAATTGTATCTAGTTGTTTCAATAGGTCATCACCAATGAGACCATCATGTCGAGAGTCGACGTCATATAGATAGAATTTATGACAATCTGAACTCTTAAAAGTGGGTGGTAGAAGGATTTGTATTACCTCATCGTGTCTGCTAGAGGCGTGGGTACTGACTACTTCGAATGGTTCATGTGTTATATATTGATAGAAGTGTTGGTATGCCTTACGGGGGCTGATAAAAGATCTAGTACTACCTGTATCTACCATTAATTTTGCATCTATTTCAGGGATATGAATATAGGGTAACTTGAGATTCGGATCACAATTTAGTTCTATGACTTCTTGTCTCCGATGGAGGCTTTCATGGGTTGGAGGTTGAGTTCCGTCTGTAAGTTCGTCGTAAGTTATTTCGTTAACAGTTTCCTCCGCGGATGGTATCAGTTCACTGTCATATTGCCCTACATACTCGTCTGTGTCATAATACTCATCATAATACTGTCCGTCATTTTCTCTTAAGGTCAACTCATTTAGTCTAAAGCCGGGCTGTGGCCTAGGAGGAGCTGTTCCCATGGAAACGTCAGTCTCTTGAAAATTGGGTTTCTGAGTTTGTAGTTTATTACCAAATTGTGTAGTTGGCATATGGCCAAATTGCTGTTGAGGTCTTAGACCAAAATGTTGTGGCTGAAAGCCCAGTTGTGGACGGTAACCGAACTGTTGTGGCTGAGGGCCGAGTTGTGGACGATAGCCGAACTGTTGTGGTTGCTGGCCAAGTTGTGGCCGATAACCAAATTGAGGTGGACGGTAACCTATCTGTTGCATTGGTTGAGGACGACAGCCAGATTGGGGCATCCTAAATTGGCTTTGATTTTGAATTCCGAAATTAAATTTTGGTGTACTGTTATTTGGAAACACTGGTTCGTATCCGTATGGTTGCATTCCCGTGTGAGGCGCACTACCGAATTTAAATCTTTGTGTTGGAACTGATGTTTGAGGCTGCCTTAAAGCTAAACCACTACTACCTTGAACACGATTACGCATATTGTATTGATCGTGGAAGTTGACTTCCTCTAGTACAATGCTCAGCTCTTCTAAAGTCGCTGGCCTCTTTAACCTTACTATCCGAACCATATTCATCGATATGTTTACATTCGAAATTAATAATGATCGAATACTTTGAATGCGGTTACAAAAGTCTTGAAAGTTTTCACCAGATTTAATCTTTAAAGATTCTAATTCAATACTAATACACTCTTCGCTACGGGGGTCTTCGAAATGTTGCGTTAGCAAATCTTTCAACTGGGACCACGACACGACATCCTCCCGTTCCGATAAGAGTGACGCCGCGTTATCTGTGAGCCTACTAGTTATAGAATGATAAACGTATAAATTTTGTTCTTCGTCACCCCTATACCTACAAATGACATATTATTCACATTTTCTCAAAAACAAATTTAACTGTCTTTTGTCGCCATTAAAAAGTGGAATAAGCCGTAGCATTTCTGTAGAAATGGGATTAATTACAACGGTCTGTCGTTCTGCTGCCATTGGTTGTTCCATCGTTATAGAGTAATGCACGAGTCAGAGGAGTCAGTTAATATAGAGCGCTATTTTATGCAATAACACAAAATATAACGTAGAACACACTAAAGCATATAAAAATATAATTTATAAAATAAAGTTTATTTAAAGTATAAAATATGTAAAAGATGCAAATGTAATGAAAAATAAAATTAAATGAAATAAAACTGTATTATATCTCTAGCATTAATAAAACATATATTCTTTAATTATCAAGTAAAGCTTTAATTACATTTAATTTATTAGTTTGTAAAAAGTCTTATATTTAAAACGTTTAATAATCTCTGTGCGAAAAGGCACTCTGTGTCCCTTATTCTTATCACCGTTATGTTACGCTCACACTAATAGTGTCTATTACTAATATATTTAATTGAAAAACCAGATACGTTACAACGAGAGAAGTCCGATCTCAATAATAACAAATTTAAATAAAAATGAAGGATAATAGTGGTATCAATGATGGTGAAAAGTTTTACTCACCAACCAGCCGCTATTCCCATGTCTTTCGCTTCCCTCGATGACAAATTTCTTTGGTTCTTGGATTTGCCCAACAGCTATTCGCGCCGCTATCACGAATTCAGGCGAATTTGGACACCTGAATATTTCGACAGACGGTACAGCTTTCACGTACAAATCCTACCGGTTGCGCCAGTCAAATTTCGGGAACGTCAAAAGGAGTTTAAAAAAAAAATACAATTAGATTACTATATCCGACCGATTTGGAGGTGGCTTTAATAATGAACGATATTCAAAGAGTCCGTTTGTGTGCAGACATTCGACTCATCAGCTAAGTACTAGGAACTTACATAGAAATGCTGATGCATTAGTTTTATTGCTTAGTCTAAATAATACAATATTATATATTTTAATATTTTAGTCTAAAACAGAGGGACGGGATGTATCCATAACTACGTACCTTTATATTTTTAGTTCTCATGACACAAAGTGTCGCCATCTAGTGTCAAATATATTTCATTACATTTTAAAGCCGACGCAGATCTTTCTAGAACCTTTTTAATAAATTAGGTATAAAATTACTTACAAATGAAATGTGATGCCATCCATAGCATCAGAACGTCTATTTGAGTAGTTTTTACACAATAAAACACAACACTTCATCTTTTTCTTCTTAATACTACGAAAATACACCGATTTGCAATTTTCGACACACAAGCCCATAGGACGAACGCCGACAGTATACTAAGTAAAGCCACGCCCACTATGATGACGTCAGGACCTAGTTAGAATCACAGTGTACAGTTGCTTATGCCATCTCTTTGTATTTGCTTCGTGGAGACAATCTACGAGGGAGGCCTATGTTCAGCATTTAACTTATTAACCGTTGTAACGGTAAAACTGATATTTAATTAATATTTATTGATATTTAGCATTGGCAAGTATTACATATTTATTATTGTAAATGAAATTGTAACACGGTTCTAAAAATTAATAGACCTCAACAGTTTCTTGGCGGTTTCCTCTGAGGAGATTTTGATTTTCATAAGAATTTTAAACACAAGTGGTAAAATTAAAAATTTTGTACAACCGACTTCAATATAAAAAATGAGAACATCATTTATATAATATTAATTTACAAATTAATTTACAAAGAAATTGGATAACATATACTATAAGATATAACTATATATAACTATGAGACCGCAGTTAATATCAAGCAAATAAAAAGGTATACTTTTCTACTTATTTCGGATGACAAACTTTTTTTTGACGGTTACTAATTAAGTTGTCAGTGACTTGTGAGACTTGTTTTGAATTTATTTTATATAAAAAAAAAATCAATTGTCGCATTTATGAAAGGTCATTACTTGAGGACGGTCGTCTCGATTTTGATGATTTTTTTTTTAGTTTAGTTTTCCTAGGCGGTTTAGAATTACAATTGGACCCGGTAGGTGGCGCTGTTGTTCAGAATCGGAAATCACCTGTGTGTACCCGGGTACACACCCCCGGGGGTGGATTATTAATTTATTAAAAAATAATTTGTATTTTAGAATGAACGAGACCTGTAACTCCCGAAAAAAAGCTAGGAGCAATGATGCGTGATTTCGAAAATTCGTGACTGATGTAGATATTAATTGTCAATCATGCAACAATTTCATGCAACCGTCAATCACCGCATTATACACGGTAGGTTATTCATCAATGACAACCGTGATTGTTGTAAAACTGACAGCAAATCGTATTGTGTAATGGGCGTGTAAAAAGTGTGTGTGTGTGGTTGGTGCGCAGTTGAAGTGGCGGCTGCGGTCGGGCGGCGGCAGCGCGGTGTACGTGGTGGGCGTGCGCGACTGCGGCGCGCTGCGCGGCCTGCGCGCGCGGGCCCTGCGCGCCTCGCTGCGGGCCCTGCGCCGCATGGCGGCCGCGCTGGGGGCGGCCCCCGTGGCGGCGCGGGCCCGCCGCCTGGCGCCGCACAGGGCCGTCGCCGAGGTCTACATACGCAAGGTGCCTCCACACTCCTCCATCCTCATGCAGCGCGGGCCCTGCGCGCCTCGCTGCGGGCCCTGCGCCGCATGGCGGCCGCGCTGGGGGCGGCCCCCGTGGCGGCGCGGGCCCGCCGCCTGGCGCCGCACAGGGCCGTCGCCGAGGTCTACATACGCAAGGTGCCTCCACACTCCTCCATCCTCATGCAGCGCGGGCCCTGCGCGCCTCGCTGCGGGCCCTGCGCCGCATGGCGGCCGCGCTGGGGGCGGCCCCCGTGGCGGCGCGGGCCCGCCGCCTGGCGCCGCACAGGGCCGTCGCCGAGGTCTACATACGCAAGGTGCCTCCACACTCCTCCATCCTCATGCAGCGCGGGCCCTGCGCGCCTCGCTGCGGGCCCTGCGCCGCATGGCGGCCGCGCTGGGGGCGGCCCCCGTGGCGGCGCGGGCCCGCCGCCTGGCGCCGCACAGGGCCGTCGCCGAGGTCTACATACGCAAGGTGCCTCCACACTCCTCCATCCTCATGCAGCGCGGGCCCTGCGCGCCTCGCTGCGGGCCCTGCGCCGCATGGCGGCCGCGCTGGGGGCGGCCCCCGTGGCGGCGCGGGCCCGCCGCCTGGCGCCGCACAGGGCCGTCGCCGAGGTCTACATACGCAAGGTGCCTCCACACTCCTCCATCCTCATGCAGCGCGGGCCCTGCGCGCCTCGCTGCGGGCCCTGCGCCGCATGGCGGCCGCGCTGGGGGCGGCCCCCGTGGCGGCGCGGGCCCGCCGCCTGGCGCCGCACAGGGCCGTCGCCGAGGTCTACATACGCAAGGTGCCTCCACACTCCTCCATCCTCATGCAGCGCGGGCCCTGCGCGCCTCGCTGCGGGCCCTGCGCCGCATGGCGGCCGCGCTGGGGGCGGCCCCCGTGGCGGCGCGGGCCCGCCGCCTGGCGCCGCACAGGGCCGTCGCCGAGGTCTACATACGCAAGGTGCCTCCACACTCCTCCATCCTCATGCAGCGCGGGCCCTGCGCGCCTCGCTGCGGGCCCTGCGCCGCATGGCGGCCGCGCTGGGGGCGGCCCCCGTGGCGGCGCGGGCCCGCCGCCTGGCGCCGCACAGGGCCGTCGCCGAGGTCTACATACGCAAGGTGCCTCCACACTCCTCCATCCTCATGCAGCGCGGGCCCTGCGCGCCTCGCTGCGGGCCCTGCGCCGCATGGCGGCCGCGCTGGGGGCGGCCCCCGTGGCGGCGCGGGCCCGCCGCCTGGCGCCGCACAGGGCCGTCGCCGAGGTCTACATACGCAAGGTGCCTCCACACTCCTCCATCCTCATGCAGCGCGGGCCCTGCGCGCCTCGCTGCGGGCCCTGCGCCGCATGGCGGCCGCGCTGGGGGCGGCCCCCGTGGCGGCGCGGGCCCGCCGCCTGGCGCCGCACAGGGCCGTCGCCGAGGTCTACATACGCAAGGTGCCTCCACACTCCTCCATCCTCATGCAGCGCGGGCCCTGCGCGCCTCGCTGCGGGCCCTGCGCCGCATGGCGGCCGCGCTGGGGGCGGCCCCCGTGGCGGCGCGGGCCCGCCGCCTGGCGCCGCACAGGGCCGTCGCCGAGGTCTACATACGCAAGGTGCCTCCACACTCCTCCATCCTCATGCAGCGCGGGCCCTGCGCGCCTCGCTGCGGGCCCTGCGCCGCATGGCGGCCGCGCTGGGGGCGGCCCCCGTGGCGGCGCGGGCCCGCCGCCTGGCGCCGCACAGGGCCGTCGCCGAGGTCTACATACGCAAGGTGCCTCCACACTCCTCCATCCTCATGCAGCGCGGGCCCTGCGCGCCTCGCTGCGGGCCCTGCGCCGCATGGCGGCCGCGCTGGGGGCGGCCCCCGTGGCGGCGCGGGCCCGCCGCCTGGCGCCGCACAGGGCCGTCGCCGAGGTCTACATACGCAAGGTGCCTCCACACTCCTCCATCCTCATGCAGCGCGGGCCCTGCGCGCCTCGCTGCGGGCCCTGCGCCGCATGGCGGCCGCGCTGGGGGCGGCCCCCGTGGCGGCGCGGGCCCGCCGCCTGGCGCCGCACAGGGCCGTCGCCGAGGTCTACATACGCAAGGTGCCTCCACACTCCTCCATCCTCATGCAGCGCGGGCCCTGCGCGCCTCGCTGCGGGCCCTGCGCCGCATGGCGGCCGCGCTGGGGGCGGCCCCCGTGGCGGCGCGGGCCCGCCGCCTGGCGCCGCACAGGGCCGTCGCCGAGGTCTACATACGCAAGGTGCCTCCACACTCCTCCATCCTCATGCAGCGCGGGCCCTGCGCGCCTCGCTGCGGGCCCTGCGCCGCATGGCGGCCGCGCTGGGGGCGGCCCCCGTGGCGGCGCGGGCCCGCCGCCTGGCGCCGCACAGGGCCGTCGCCGAGGTCTACATACGCAAGGTGCCTCCACACTCCTCCATCCTCATGCAGCGCGGGCCCTGCGCGCCTCGCTGCGGGCCCTGCGCCGCATGGCGGCCGCGCTGGGGGCGGCCCCCGTGGCGGCGCGGGCCCGCCGCCTGGCGCCGCACAGGGCCGTCGCCGAGGTCTACATACGCAAGGTGCCTCCACACTCCTCCATCCTCATGCAGCGCGGGCCCTGCGCGCCTCGCTGCGGGCCCTGCGCCGCATGGCGTTTTTCACCATCGTATATGAAGACGCAGTATCCTTAAGAACCGATGACATCTCTACAAAAATATCTTTCAGAGTATTTCCCTTCTTTACGAGAAATTTTATCATAATATGTTTAAGGTTCCCAGAATTTCCAAATTCGGCTGACATTGTAATATTTATTGTTCAATAAATAATTGAACTATGAGTGCAAACTTAATGAATGATTGCTTTTATAATACTTATATAAAAGCAATCATTAATAAATGAGTGTTACAACTAGTGACATGTGTAACAAGCTACTTATTCATCGTTAAGTACCCTAAGCCGCAAACTTTTCAACCGCCCTGGTAAATATAAACGAAAGTGAAATAGACACTATTCTTCATCACTCGAAGTGTCGTGTCGGAGTCATCACCACCTGTATTTATAATAAGCCATTCAACGTCCATCACGTTCTGAATCCATACTAACGTAGTATTTTTGTGTTGGTTTTCATCATGAAGCACCACATCACAAGCACACAAACAACCTTTCACTACGGTGTATCGTTTTAAAATGCCAAATTCTCCTGCGGGTGTACGCCGCACGCGGCGACCTTTAATGTCGCGACGTACAATCGTATCTAAGCGAACAGACTATAACAATAAGTTATACAAAAAAAAACTTCAATCTAGGTCGTCTAATAGTCGTAAGCGCTACAGCTGATCAAGTGGTCCCGAGTTCGAATCCTGGATCCTCAAAATTTCGAATTATTCTGTCATGAAATTCTCAGTATTATCCCGGAGTAAAGAAATTCAGTCTTTCACCCTCGTTCCTCAGAAAGCACTTAAAACCGCTGGTCCAGCGTCTGATCTCTCCGGTCGTGTCGGATCCGTCGCATCAGTCTCTGAGATTGAGGCAATAGAGAGTGCACTATAATCCTGTCCTGCGTTTATGATTAGTATACGTTGAGACTGGCCGCAGTGACCAGTCTGGAAGACATTACGTTAGTGAGTGCATAAAATCAGAGACCCTTAGTCCTCAGTGGTGCAACTCATCTACATTTTTTATTCTCAATAGAGGATAGATGTATGTGATTTGCTTTGATTGTGACCAGGATTAAGAAAGGAATACTTCGGTGGTTTGGTCATGTAGAAAGAATGAACGAGGAAAAAGTGACAAAGCAAATTTATGTTACAGAAGTGAACGGCAGGTCGGGAAGGGACGCCCTGCCCTAGATTTTTTTTATAGGATAGGGTGACAGACGAGCACACAGTCCACCTGATGGTAAGTGGTTACTGTGACCCATAGACATCTACATCTATCCTCAATAAAGACTTAAGATACAGATGCGTTGTCACCCGTGAGGACTAAGATGAAATGCCTCTTTGCCAGTAAAAAAGGGTCTCCGGTTCTCTACACTCACCATACGAAACACAGCAGCGTTAAGCTGCTATTTTACGCTGGTTTTCTGTGAAAGCGTGGCCCTTTCCCGGTCGAGCCGACCCATTCGTGCTACAACTATACTACTAATATAGCTGCAAAAATGGGCCAGATAAGGAGTACCCTTAACCGACGAGCGTGTATGCGTAAATATATGGATGTAAAGGAGGCGAGAGAGGTGTGTCAGAATCGTGCCAAATGGAAGTCCGTTGTCTCTGCCTACCTCTCTGGGTGACAGGCGTGAGTGTTTGTGTGTGTGTGTGTGATAGATGTAGGTTTCTCTGGGCCACAGCATCCACTTATCATCAAATGAACTGTGTGCTCGTTTGTAACCTTTATTTGTCAGTGTCATCAGTGAATGCAAGCATGTGCCCTGATAGATAATAAATCCTTAGTAAATTCTAATGAAGTCTCTTCTATTCTTCTCTGTCTTTTAGTTGGCTGACACGCAGCAGAGCGTTGAGCTCAGGATCGCAGTGATGGGAGCTAACGAAGCTGGCAAATCCACTCTCATCGGAGTTTTGACACAAGGTACTTGAAGTACTTTTCATTCATTCATATATTCGCTGTTATTTATAGAGTAAGGGTGACAAACGAGCACACATTCCACCTGATGGTAAGTAGTTGCTGTGGCCTATACACATATTCGTTTGCGAATCAAAATACAGATGCTTTGTCAGCCGTGAGGGCTAAGATGGAATGCCTCGTTTTCAGTAAAAAGGGTCTCCGGTTCTCTACGCTCACTATACGAAACACAGCAGCGTTAAGTTGCTATTTTACGCTGGTATTCTGTGAGAGCGTGGTCCTTCCCCGGTCGAGCCGACCCATTCGTGCTACAACTATATTATTAATATAGCCGCAGCATGACTCTACCAGGTATAAAAGATCTTAGGGTTTGCCTTCGGACTTCTTCGGCTACGGCCGAATGTCACCCTGATTCCTTTGAGGTCATCAGCAAATAAGTGTCCTTCAGAGTTCTGGAAATACTGTTCAATATTGTTTATGAATAATGTGAAGAGATAGGGCCCCAAATGGGATATTGATTAATATATTTTTAACGCTTGTAACATGCATGTGTAAAAAAAATCCTCGCGATGTTTTCCTTCACCACCGAGCACGTGGTAATATATTCATATAGGTTTCGGAACATTAAGGTCATATTAGTTTCTTCCGAAAATAAAAAAATTATAATAATAACATTCCCTATCCCGTATTGTGCAGGCGAGTTGGACAACGGCCGGGGGAGCGCGCGCCTGAACATGTTCCGGCATCTGCACGAAGTGAAGAGTGGCCGCACCTCATCGCTCAGCCACGAGATACTCGGATTCGATGCTCAGGTGAGCCTGTTTTGACATCACATATCATGGTTGCAGCACTAATGGGTCGGCTCGACCGGGGAAAGGACCACACTCGCACAGAACACCAGCGTGAAATAGCAGCTTAACGCTGTTGTGTTTCGTATGGTGAGTATAGAGAACCCTTTTTACTAGATACGAGGAGGCATTCCATCTCAGTCTTCGGGGGTGACAGCGCATCTGCATTTTGATTCTTAATAGAGGATAGATGTAGACGTTAGCGATGGGTCGTTGACGGTTTTTCCGTTAACGAAACGTTAACGATGATTTAAGTTTGTCAACTAGTTAAATTCGTCAACGAGTTAACGTACTACTAATGTCAACTTGCAACGTAAACCGTTAATTCATTTAACGGTTTTAATTCCACGTTACGACTTTCAATTTTAGAAACAATTTGATTCCAAATCCATGTATGTATTGGACAACGTTTGATTGATGGTTCTACTTAGATGACCTTCCCTTCATAATTTTTCTTTAGGCTTAGGACTGATTGAAGACAATTAGCTTATTATTATTAATTATTTAAAAGCTCATCTTATTCTATGTGGGGAAATCAATTATTATTTACAATATGTTTTTTATAAGTAGTTTTGTTTTTTTAATAATTTTTTTTTGTTATTTTTTTCTATTTTTCGAAATGCAGCCACGATTCAGTGTTACCCTAGTATGTCCCGAAATTTTCAATTTTGTACCTTAGGTCGTCCTATTTTATGCGAATATACAAAATTATATTAACACAAACAAATTTACATCAAGCATCAAGATGCGCGCGCGGCGCGTAATCCGATGGTATTGAGGTGAGGTAAACGCCGCCAGGGGGGGGGGTCCGTGTGCCGCTTCCTGTCTTTCGGCCGCGTGGGCTAACAACAGTGTATTGAACGCCGCGGCATTGTCGACTAGTGTTGTTTGCGACCGTTAGTGAGTCGGGCGCGGCTGGTGTCCATAATTGTACGCGTCGTTTGAATTTGCTATCGAATATTTAGGTCCGGTTGGGACCGCCTCGAATTGAGTGTCTGTTTTGAGTGTTACGTGACAAGAGGCCTAATTTGAGTTGGATTGATTAAATTAACTGATTGCCAATAATTGTTGCGCGACGGACGTGCCTCTCAATTGATTGTCTAAATTTATACGTTTCGTGACAAGAGGCTTGTATTGAGTTTGAATTATTAACCTAACTTTGATTGACAATTAATTTGATTCGACGAGTTGCTTTGTGGCATTTTAATTTCGTGCGAAGGAATTTTGCCTTGTTGTGTGGAACGCTGAACTTTGAGACTCGAGAAGAAGCCGCGTTCGTTCCAGTGTTTGTAATTTTGTGCTAAGTGAACTCGGAACATTGAATATTGAACTTTGAACAACTGTTCGTTACTTGTGTCGTGTGTCACTGGTTTTAATTTCGATGAACGTTGAAAACCACGTAATGCGTAATCAAAGTCCGGAATTAGCATGCCAAGGTCAACGAATATAGCAGAAACAGTCCAAGAGTGATAGCCTAGGCAGAAAATATAATAATAACCAATAACACAAAAACATCCAATATAGCGAGAGACTGTGCGAAGTATTGACGAATTAATGACGGAGAGAGAAAAACTGGAGGTTAAAATAAATTTTTTCAAAATCAAAGTATGCGCTCCAGTCTTTTTAGCCAAACTATTTCCAATATAATATTAAATATCAAAATAAAGCTAAAAATGTATATGGTTACATTTTGTTTTATATGTTTAAACATTAAATAATACGTTTCTCTTTTTTCCACATTATCGATTTTTCAAAACATCGATTTTATTTGGTCAAAAATCGGTTTATAACGATCACAACGTTACGATAACGAACCTAAAGATATAACAGACATGTCATTGTAATAACGACCTGTCGGAATATTAATCAACAATTAATTCGTGTTTTTGAGTGCATTTTTCCAATATGAAGTGAAACTTTGTGTGTGCTCAATGAATAATAAAATATAATGTGTTTTGTTAATGATACTCATTGTTATACTGTATGGATAACATAGTAATTATTTAGGATTATGTATGAATTTGAATTTTCGATTTCTAACGTAGACGTTCATAGAAAGAATCGGGCTTTTTAAATTGTCTCTAGTATAATAAAATAAAATAAAAATCTGTCCCTGGCTGACTGTCACACGCTGGTTCCAGGGCAACGTGGTGAACTACGGGTGCTCGGAGCTGATGACGGCGGAGCGCATAGGCGAGCGCAGCGCCAAGCTGGTGTCGTTCCTGGACCTGGCCGGCCACACCAAGTACCAGCGCACCACGCTGCACGGACTCACTGGCTACTCGCCGCACTACGCCATGATTGTGGTCAGTGGGGAAAGGAGGGGTATGGATGGGACACAGGGACCCTGTGTCGTTTCTGGACCTGGTCGGCCACACCAAGTACCAGCGGACCACGCTGCACGGATTCACCGGCTACTCGCCGCACTATGCCATGATTGTGGTCAGTGGGGAAAGGGGGGGGGGTATGGATGGAACACAGGGACCCTGTGTCGTTTCTGGACCTGGTCGGCCACACCAAGTACCAGCGCACCACGCTGCACGGACTCACCGGCTACTCGCCGCACTATGCCATGATTGTGGTCAGTGGGAGAAGGGGGGGGGGGCATAAGGGGCACGGGGAGCCTGTGTCGTTCTTGGACCTGGCTGGTCACGCCAAGTACCAGCGCACCACGCTGCACGGACTCATCGGCTACTCGCCGCATTACGCCATGATTGTGGTCATTGGTAGAAGGGGGGGGCATGAGGGGACACGGGGAGCCTGTGTCGTTCCTGGACCTGGCTGGTCACACCAAGTACCAGCGCACCACGCTGCACGTACTCATCGGCTACTCGCCGCATTACGCCATGATTGTGGTCAGTGGGGGAAGGGGACGGAATAGGGGGGCATGGGGGGTGGCACGGGGAGCCTGTTTTTATGGCCTACAAATAATCGTTCCAGATCTCGTTTATTGTCCATGTGCAATTTTTTGTTTGTAAAACGCAGCCACAATGCAGGGAATTCTTTTTTTTTGTTTTCAAGAAAATAAAAAAAAATAATTCCATTTTTGAACAGATATCAGCGACGGCCGGGATCACCCGCATCACAGAGGAGCACATAGCTCTGCTGACGGCACTAGAGTTGCCGTTCTTCGCCGTGATCAGCAAGTGCGAACTGTGTCCCGCGAACGTGCGTCCTTTGGTCCAGAGGCTGGAGGAACTGCTGGCGCCTGAAGGGGACCCCACTGTAAGAAAGGTAACGGATGACATTTGACACTCTGTCATTTTTTCATTCAGCATATCATATTACATATACCGAGCCTGCTTATTTGTCAAAATTAATACACGTTATTTTAAGTACCCGAGGCAAACTAGGAATAATGTTACTATCCGTTTCAGACATCTGGAACAGCCTTTTTCTCAAAAACTTTTTATGAATTAGGACCAAAAATAGATAATCATTTACCTGAAAAATTAAAACATTTATAAATTAAAAAAAAAACTTGCGTGAGTGTCGTGGAACACTCGGTTGGAACGAAGTTCCTTTCGTGGTATATTATTATTGATAAATGTATTATATTATTGATAAATGTATTATATTATTGATTAACAAACACAAATATATGAATTATTAGCGTCTATTAAGCTGGAAGTGTGATTTAAAATAAAATAATATTTGTATCATGGCAAGATAGGAAAAAGTGCGAGGGAGATCGATATTATTCCATCTCGCTTCCTTGTAGCCGCCCAGGCCGTGTACACTACGTCAGATGGGGTCGTGACCGAAAAATCTTACACTTTTTGTCGCCTAGCCCTATCCGCCAAATCCGTACCGTCCGATAAAGAACTTCGTTCCAAATAAATTAAGAATAAATTAGAATTGTTGACTGAAAGACGTTTTTACTCCTGATAATATTATTTGAGCTACAAACTTACATTCTAAATTAATTGACATTTGAAATATTTTTTGAATTATGTTTTAGGCGAAAAGTATTAAAATCACTACGTTTTAGTTAGAAGCTTACATGTATTTTGACATATTAATATTCCATTGTATTTATGATTTATTATCCGTGTTTGTTGATTTGATTTAATGAATAATTAAAATTGGTAAAAATTACCTTGCGTACAGTCGCTCGATAAAATAAAATGATGTGTGTTACTTAGTTTGAAGAGCACCTACCGCCTCACCTCAATTGCGTGCACTATCTCCGTCTACTGTAGAACAAAAATGTTTTATAACGTGGTAGAGACATGTTGCAGCTATTAGTAGTATAGTTGTAGCAAGAATGTGTCGGCTCAACTGGGGAAGGACCACGGTCTCTCAGAATACCAGCGTAGAGAATAGTAGTTGAACACAGCAGGTGTTTCATATGGTGAGTGTAGAAATCCGGAGACCCTTTTTTACTGGAAAAGATGCATTCCATCTTTGTCCTCACGGCTGACAACGTAAATGCATTTTGATTCGCAGTTGAGGATAGATGTAGATGTGTATGGGCCACAGCAACCACTTACCATCAGGTGGACTGTATGCTCGTTTGTCACCCTCATAAAAAAGATTATATTTGTCTCGTTTCATAGAAAAAACCGTTGCTGATTACGGATGAGAACATGGCCAGGAACTGCGTCGCACCGCAGAAGTCCATTTTGGACTCTATCGACAACGGATCCGGAGAGGGTGGGAAGAAGAATGATGAGTACGTATAAGCTCGAAATTCGATTGCCTCGAGAAAGTTAATAAGTTTGAAGTTATGTAATGTATGAATTAACAGCAAAGTTTACTTTCTATAATCTTTAACGCTAATAGAAAACTATAATAATTAATCGGATGATATAATGTTTATGTGGTAGAGCTACGCTGCAGCTATAATGAATTACTAGCGTCTTAAAATGAAGCGTCATTTAAAATAAAATAATATTTCTTTCATGGCAAGATAACAAAAAGTGCGAGGGAGATGGATATTATTTGATTTCGCTTCCTTGTAGCCGCCAAGGCCGTCTACACTGCGTTAGAAGGGGTCGTGACGGAAAAATCTTACACTTTTTCTCGACTAGCTTCCATCCGCTAAATTCGTACCGTCCGATAAGGAACTTAGCTCCAAAATTAACATTATATTATTGTTACGGCCCTCAGTTGTCCCGACAGAAGTCGACTGGACCAGGGCCTATGAGTAGCCCACTCGACGGGCAACCAGAGGGTTCGGGCCCAAATGGCTTATGGGTAATTATTATGCAATGGCTGATAAGCAAACACAAACTTACCGAGTTCCGGAGGTAGGGTCGACCACAAGGTATCGTCAGGGGTAAGTATGTGAGTGTAAGTGGTGTGAGAAAGTGTGTAGATGTAACCTGACGTCACCAATGTAATCGGGCAGCAGACCCACATGCGCTGCTCTGTTCCACAATGTGCAATCACTCCAGTGGGCGTTCACCTTTATGACTTTCTGCTTTTATTTCACTATATTAGTTTATCAATTTTATTATACATTTAATTCACTTCAAATTTAACTAAATCAACGTTAATCGAACTTAAAAACAAGTGACACACTGCACAACTAAAAAACTGTCTGTCAATGTTCAATGCCCCATGTTCACTTAGCACAAACGGAACGCGATCTTCTCTCGGGTCACAAATTTTTAGCGTTCTACCGACAAAGGAAAATGTTTTCGTACGATATTAAAATGCCACACAAGCCACTCGTTGACGCAAATTAATGGCAATCGAAGTTAAGTTATTCACTCAAAACTCAAGGAAAGCCTCGTTGTCACGTAAACGCACGAAAAGGACAACGCAATCAGAGGCGTTCGTCACGCGACCGAACGATTCGAGCGTAACTTCCAGACTCGTCAGCACATGGCTGCCGCGGGCAAACGAGCCGTCAAACCGGTTCTTCGCGCACACGTCAGGCGACCGAGCGTTTTGAATGCAAGTTTTAAATGTTAAGATTTGGCCTAAACAATTATATACAGTTATAGGTACACTGGCTTTATTATGTATATCTGGTATGGTTTACAGCTTTGAGCCGGTAGCCGTGTTCCCGGTGAGCTGCGTCCGCGGCGCGGGACTGAACACACTGCACGCCTACCTGCTGGCGCTGCAGCCGCCCGCCGCCGAGCCCGAGCCCAGGCCCGACGATGTGAGTGCACCACACTCAGGTAGCCGTGCTCCCGGTGAGCTGCGTCCGCGGCGCGGGACTGAACACACTGCACGCCTACCTGCTGGCGCTGCAGCCGCCCGCCGCCGAGCCCGAGCCCAGGCCCGACGATGTGAGTGCACCACACTCAGGTAGCCGTGCTCCCGGTGAGCTGCGTCCGCGGCGCGGGACTGAACACACTGCACGCCTACCTGCTGGCGCTGCAGCCGCCCGCCGCCGAGCCCGAGCCCAGGCCCGACGATGTGAGTGCACCACACTCAGGTAGCCGTGCTCCCGGTGAGCTGCGTCCGCGGCGCGGGACTGAACACACTGCACGCCTACCTGCTGGCGCTGCAGCCGCCCGCCGCCGAGCCCGAGCCCAGGCCCGACGATGTGAGTGCACCACACTCAGGTAGCCGTGCTCCCGGTGAGCTGCGTCCGCGGCGCGGGACTGAACACACTGCACGCCTACCTGCTGGCGCTGCAGCCGCCCGCCGCCGAGCCCGAGCCCAGGCCCGACGATGTGAGTGCACCACACTCAGGTAGCCGTGCTCCCGGTGAGCTGCGTCCGCGGCGCGGGACTGAACACACTGCACGCCTACCTGCTGGCGCTGCAGCCGCCCGCCGCCGAGCCCGAGCCCAGGCCCGACGATGTGAGTGCACCACACTCAGGTAGCCGTGCTCCCGGTGAGCTGCGTCCGCGGCGCGGGACTGAACACACTGCACGCCTACCTGCTGGCGCTGCAGCCGCCCGCCGCCGAGCCCGAGCCCAGGCCCGACGATGTGAGTGCACCACACTCAGGTAGCCGTGCTCCCGGTGAGCTGCGTCCGCGGCGCGGGACTGAACACACTGCACGCCTACCTGCTGGCGCTGCAGCCGCCCGCCGCCGAGCCCGAGCCCAGGCCCGACGATGTGAGTGCACCACACTCAGGTAGCCGTGCTCCCGGTGAGCTGCGTCCGCGGCGCGGGACTGAACACACTGCACGCCTACCTGCTGGCGCTGCAGCCGCCCGCCGCCGAGCCCGAGCCCAGGCCCGACGATGTGAGTGCACCACACTCAGGTAGCCGTGCTCCCGGTGAGCTGCGTCCGCGGCGCGGGACTGAACACACTGCACGCCTACCTGCTGGCGCTGCAGCCGCCCGCCGCCGAGCCCGAGCCCAGGCCCGACGATGTGAGTGCACCACACTCAGGTAGCCGTGCTCCCGGTGAGCTGCGTCCGCGGCGCGGGACTGAACACACTGCACGCCTACCTGCTGGCGCTGCAGCCGCCCGCCGCCGAGCCCGAGCCCAGGCCCGACGATGTGAGTGCACCACACTCAGGTAGCCGTGCTCCCGGTGAGCTGCGTCCGCGGCGCGGGACTGAACACACTGCACGCCTACCTGCTGGCGCTGCAGCCGCCCGCCGCCGAGCCCGAGCCCAGGCCCGACGATGTGAGTGCACCACACTCAGGTAGCCGTGCTCCCGGTGAGCTGCGTCCGCGGCGCGGGACTGAACACACTGCACGCCTACCTGCTGGCGCTGCAGCCGCCCGCCGCCGAGCCCGAGCCCAGGCCCGACGATGTGAGTGCACCACACTCAGGTAGCCGTGCTCCCGGTGAGCTGCGTCCGCGGCGCGGGACTGAACACACTGCACGCCTACCTGCTGGCGCTGCAGCCGCCCGCCGCCGAGCCCGAGCCCAGGCCCGACGATGTGAGTGCACCACACTCAGGTAGCCGTGCTCCCGGTGAGCTGCGTCCGCGGCGCGGGACTGAACACACTGCACGCCTACCTGCTGGCGCTGCAGCCGCCCGCCGCCGAGCCCGAGCCCAGGCCCGACGATGTGAGTGCACCACACTCAGGTAGCCGTGCTCCCGGTGAGCTGCGTCCGCGGCGCGGGACTGAACACACTGCACGCCTACCTGCTGGCGCTGCAGCCGCCCGCCGCCGAGCCCGAGCCCAGGCCCGACGATGTGAGTGCACCACACTCAGGTAGCCGTGCTCCCGGTGAGCTGCGTCCGCGGCGCGGGACTGAACACACTGCACGCCTACCTGCTGGCGCTGCAGCCGCCCGCCGCCGAGCCCGAGCCCAGGCCCGACGATGTGAGTGCACCACACTCAGGTAGCCGTGCTCCCGGTGAGCTGCGTCCGCGGCGCGGGACTGAACACACTGCACGCCTACCTGCTGGCGCTGCAGCCGCCCGCCGCCGAGCCCGAGCCCAGGCCCGACGATGTGAGTGCACCACACTCAGGTAGCCGTGCTCCCGGTGAGCTGCGTCCGCGGCGCGGGACTGAACACACTGCACGCCTACCTGCTGGCGCTGCAGCCGCCCGCCGCCGAGCCCGAGCCCAGGCCCGACGATGTGAGTGCACCACACTCAGGTAGCCGTGCTCCCGGTGAGCTGCGTCCGCGGCGCGGGACTGAACACACTGCACGCCTACCTGCTGGCGCTGCAGCCGCCCGCCGCCGAGCCCGAGCCCAGGCCCGACGATGTGAGTGCACCACACTCAGGTAGCCGTGCTCCCGGTGAGCTGCGTCCGCGGCGCGGGACTGAACACACTGCACGCCTACCTGCTGGCGCTGCAGCCGCCCGCCGCCGAGCCCGAGCCCAGGCCCGACGATGTGAGTGCACCACACTCAGGTAGCCGTGCTCCCGGTGAGCTGCGTCCGCGGCGCGGGACTGAACACACTGCACGCCTACCTGCTGGCGCTGCAGCCGCCCGCCGCCGAGCCCGAGCCCAGGCCCGACGATGTGAGTGCACCACACTCAGGTAGCCGTGCTCCCGGTGAGCTGCGTCCGCGGCGCGGGACTGAACACACTGCACGCCTACCTGCTGGCGCTGCAGCCGCCCGCCGCCGAGCCCGAGCCCAGGCCCGACGATGTGAGTGCACCACACTCAGGTAGCCGTGCTCCCGGTGAGCTGCGTCCGCGGCGCGGGACTGAACACACTGCACGCCTACCTGCTGGCGCTGCAGCCGCCCGCCGCCGAGCCCGAGCCCAGGCCCGACGATGTGAGTGCACCACACTCAGGTAGCCGTGCTCCCGGTGAGCTGCGTCCGCGGCGCGGGACTGAACACACTGCACGCCTACCTGCTGGCGCTGCAGCCGCCCGCCGCCGAGCCCGAGCCCAGGCCCGACGATGTGAGTGCACCACACTCAGGTAGCCGTGCTCCCGGTGAGCTGCGTCCGCGGCGCGGGACTGAACACACTGCACGCCTACCTGCTGGCGCTGCAGCCGCCCGCCGCCGAGCCCGAGCCCAGGCCCGACGATGTGAGTGCACCACACTCAGGTAGCCGTGCTCCCGGTGAGCTGCGTCCGCGGCGCGGGACTGAACACACTGCACGCCTACCTGCTGGCGCTGCAGCCGCCCGCCGCCGAGCCCGAGCCCAGGCCCGACGATGTGAGTGCACCACACTCAGGTAGCCGTGCTCCCGGTGAGCTGCGTCCGCGGCGCGGGACTGAACACACTGCACGCCTACCTGCTGGCGCTGCAGCCGCCCGCCGCCGAGCCCGAGCCCAGGCCCGACGATGTGAGTGCACCACACTCAGGTAGCCGTGCTCCCGGTGAGCTGCGTCCGCGGCGCGGGACTGAACACACTGCACGCCTACCTGCTGGCGCTGCAGCCGCCCGCCGCCGAGCCCGAGCCCAGGCCCGACGATGTGAGTGCACCACACTCAGGTAGCCGTGCTCCCGGTGAGCTGCGTCCGCGGCGCGGGACTGAACACACTGCACGCCTACCTGCTGGCGCTGCAGCCGCCCGCCGCCGAGCCCGAGCCCAGGCCCGACGATGTGAGTGCACCACACTCAGGTAGCCGTGCTCCCGGTGAGCTGCGTCCGCGGCGCGGGACTGAACACACTGCACGCCTACCTGCTGGCGCTGCAGCCGCCCGCCGCCGAGCCCGAGCCCAGGCCCGACGATGTGAGTGCACCACACTCAGGTAGCCGTGCTCCCGGTGAGCTGCGTCCGCGGCGCGGGACTGAACACACTGCACGCCTACCTGCTGGCGCTGCAGCCGCCCGCCGCCGAGCCCGAGCCCAGGCCCGACGATGTGAGTGCACCACACTCAGGTAGCCGTGCTCCCGGTGAGCTGCGTCCGCGGCGCGGGACTGAACACACTGCACGCCTACCTGCTGGCGCTGCAGCCGCCCGCCGCCGAGCCCGAGCCCAGGCCCGACGATGTGAGTGCACCACACTCAGGTAGCCGTGCTCCCGGTGAGCTGCGTCCGCGGCGCGGGACTGAACACACTGCACGCCTACCTGCTGGCGCTGCAGCCGCCCGCCGCCGAGCCCGAGCCCAGGCCCGACGATGTGAGTGCACCACACTCAGGTAGCCGTGCTCCCGGTGAGCTGCGTCCGCGGCGCGGGACTGAACACACTGCACGCCTACCTGCTGGCGCTGCAGCCGCCCGCCGCCGAGCCCGAGCCCAGGCCCGACGATGTGAGTGCACCACACTCAGGTAGCCGTGCTCCCGGTGAGCTGCGTCCGCGGCGCGGGACTGAACACACTGCACGCCTACCTGCTGGCGCTGCAGCCGCCCGCCGCCGAGCCCGAGCCCAGGCCCGACGATGTGAGTGCACCACACTCAGGTAGCCGTGCTCCCGGTGAGCTGCGTCCGCGGCGCGGGACTGAACACACTGCACGCCTACCTGCTGGCGCTGCAGCCGCCCGCCGCCGAGCCCGAGCCCAGGCCCGACGATGTGAGTGCACCACACTCAGGTAGCCGTGCTCCCGGTGAGCTGCGTCCGCGGCGCGGGACTGAACACACTGCACGCCTACCTGCTGGCGCTGCAGCCGCCCGCCGCCGAGCCCGAGCCCAGGCCCGACGATGTGAGTGCACCACACTCAGGTAGCCGTGCTCCCGGTGAGCTGCGTCCGCGGCGCGGGACTGAACACACTGCACGCCTACCTGCTGGCGCTGCAGCCGCCCGCCGCCGAGCCCGAGCCCAGGCCCGACGATGTGAGTGCACCACACCCCGGCAGCCGTCATCTGGCAGCTCTTCACGTTGGCCAACATTGTGGCGAATATGTTGGCCAATACCAATGGCAATCGTGTACAGCTGGTGTTTGTGCTTACGTTGGTATGTATTGGATTGTTGGCCCACAAGTTGGCGCGAGATCCGTGTGGTGTCGGTTTTTTACAAAAGATCAAAGGGTTGTGGCAGAGTATTTGCCGCCGCGTCGACACGTTGGGCGCACTTTTAGTTTACTACGAGCTCGCAGAGTGATCGCACGCACCCGATTTAAATTCTATATTCACGCATCGTAACTAGTTTCTACAAAATGGCAGTAACAATGACCAATGGAGAAGCTTTTCGCATTATAGAGCTCTACCAAGCCGAAAACTGTTTGTGGAACAGAAGAAATAAAATTTCTTTTTTTGCCATTTCTTTATGATCACCCTTTTATTATACACATTCACGTAGTAGCGGTATGCTGTGAATAAATAAACCGCAGCAGCCGTTAGTGCCTCAATATTCATTTTAATAAATTCGTCCGCACATTGGCCTGAACCGAAGCAAATTGAACGACCTTCCAACGTTTGGACGCCATCACAAACTCTTGACTAATATCTTTTCCAACACATTCGCCACAATATTGGCCAACGTGAAGAGCCGCCTATACGTGTAGCGACTCGACACTCCCAGGCAAAGCAAACTGTACACCGGTGGTGTGGGCTGAACCCAGATTATGTAAGTAAACCCTACATATTAAGCCGTAATTCAAAAGAGACGTAACCCGATCATGTGAGTAAACCCTACATATACAGTGATGGCCACAAGAATCTGTATAGCCCGATGATGTGAGTTTCTATACAGAAGGTATCACTAGCAGCTGTACCACGATGATGTTAAATTAAAACATACATAACATAAACACTCACGCCTGTAACACAGAGGGGTAGGCAGACACTACGGACTTTCATTTGGCACGATCCTGACACACCTCTCGCCTCCTTTACATCCATATACTTACGCATACACGCTCGTCGGTTAACGGTACCCTTAATTTGGCCCATTTTCACTTCTGAAACATAAATTTGCTTTGTCACTCTTTCCTCATTCATTGTTTTTACATGCCCAAAGCACCGAAGCATTCCTTTCTTAATCCTAGTCACAACATCATCTTGCAAACCACACGATTTCTCACCCTGTCATTCAGATTCAGCCCTAGCATACTCCTTGATGACCGCATTTCTACAGCATTTATTCTACTCTCATGCTTCTTCTGCCACACCCAACTTTCACTACCATACATTAAAGTAGGTACTAATACAGCATTGTGAATTGCCATACGTGCCTTTTTGGACACTTCCTGCGTTCACTCGTCGTTCTATATCCTTATTATATCTACCATTCCTGCTGTTAAGAGTTTGTGTATTTGGGATATGTATTTACACATCCTAAATACGCAAACTCATCTACTTGCTCGACCAGCTAATGATAAGATTTGACGGCTCCGTGGCGCAGTGGCTTAGCAATCAGTTGTAGCGCTGGGGGCCGCGGGTTCGAATCCCGCACGGAACAAGTATTTGTATGGCCTACATATTAATAATTGTTCCGGGACTGGATGTTTGTCCTTGTGCAATTTATGTTTGTAAACTGCCTCCACGACACAGGAGAAAATCCTAGTGTGGGGATAACGTTTTTTTTTTAATAGAATAAAGAATAAAGATAGATAATGGTAGCATAAACTGAATGATGTATATACACACAGTGGTTATCACTACAGATATACACACACGATGTGAGTTTACTGTCTAAACTCCACTGCTGAACCTAGATTGCCTCATAGAGAAGATATTTGCCATAGTTGTTTCGCTTGCTAGTCAGGTTGGCAACTGCAGTTTTTGTTTTTAGTTGTTTTTTTGTTTTTTTGACAAACGTAAGACTACGCTGGTCATCTCTTGCTTTGTTTCCCTCTGTCGACTCTTACGACACCCATGGGTCGATATGGGGTATTGGGTATTCTTACACCATCACTACACGGTCTTAAGTACACAAGTGTGTACTTGCTTGAATAGTTCCACGCAAAATTGTTCCAGCATTCTATAAAGAACCGATGTTCCTAAGTCTGGGTGGAATCTGTAGAGTAGATAGAATAGAATGATTTTTTTATTCAATATTGATTATTACATAATACGGTTCGGAAAATACCTCTGTCCTAGGAAGAACTTTTTTTAAACATATTTCACTTAGTAATAATTTTGTTTATACAATTTTTAAATGAATTTTCATAGAACCAGCATGGTGGCGATCACCTTAATCGCAGGGGTTATTTTCATTCATGTATTCCTTGATATTATAATAACCCTTTTTGTACAGTTTTTCTTTAATAAAACTTTTAAACTTGTTTATTGACAAACTTTGAACATGTTCTGGGATTCTGTTGTAAAAGCGTATACATTGCCCCATAAATGAATTACTAATTCTGTGGAGTCTTGTAAGTGGCATTACAAGCTTATGTTTGTTCCTAGTGTTTAAGGTATGAACATCCTTATTCTTATTAAAGCTATTTATGTTTTTATGTACATACATTACATTTTCATAAATATATTGCGATGCCAAAGTTAATATGTTTATTTCTTTAAATTTCTCTTTACAATTTAGGAGGGACTCTTTACAATTTAGGTTATAAATCGCCCCTACGGCTCTCTTTTGCAAAACAAATATAGCTTCAATATCAGTCGCATTACCCCATATCAAAATTCCATAAGACATTACTCAATGAAAGTAACTAAAATACACTAATCTAGCTGTCTTAAGATCTGTGAGACTTCTAATCTTTTTTTACAGCATATGCTGCAGAACTAAGTCTGCTTGCTAATTTAGATATATGGGGGCCCCATTGAAGCTTCGTGTCAATAGTAATACCAAGAAAAAAAGTGGTATCCACAAGACTCAACTCCTCCCCATTTAAAAGCACATTGGTTTTCGAATGTTTTACATTAGGTATTGTAAATTTAATACATTTTGTCTTATTGCCGTTTAAGAGCAAATTGTTGGCGTTAAACCAATGTACTAATTTCGATAGAGCATTATTTACAATTAATTGATTGCCGCTTGAGTTTGAAAATTAAAGATGTATCATCAGCAAATAATACTATATCGTGATTGTCCCCTACAAGATAAGGTAAGTCATTAATATAAATTAAGAACAGGAATGGGCCAAGAATTGAGCCGTGAGGAACGCCCATTGATACTACCGATCCGGAGGAACCTTACCATTAATCACGACTTTTTGAGTTTTGTTACTTAAATATTAAGTAATAAGTCTCAGCGCCAAATTTTTTACACCGTAATGTTGGAGTTTCCTGATTAATATCTCATGATGAACACAATCGAAAGCCTTGTAAAGATCACAGAAAATACCTAAGGCATCTTATGAATTCTCCCAGGCATAAAAAATATATTTCATAAGCTCAACACCGGCGTCAGACGTCGAGCGACCCTTTGTAAAACCAAATTGGTTTTTATGAAGTAATTTATTTGTACTAAAAAAAATTAACGTACAATTGTTAATTTTTTTTATCTCATTATTTTTTCAAAAATTTTACTGAGACTTGGTAGTATAGAAAAAGGTCAAATGTACTATCAGATTTAAATAAAGGTATTACTTTACTATACTTCATTAAATCAGGAAACACACCAGAATCGATAAAAGTATTAAAAATAATAGCAAGATGAGGTGCAATTAAATCTATTATGGACGCAATAACTGTAACGGAAATCCCCCACAAATCTGCGGTTTTCTTTACATAAATAGTTTTGAAGTATTTTACAATATTATGCGGTAATACTTTTTCAAATCTAAATTCTTTTAAACAGGTATTAACATTCTGTTTGAGTAATGACTCGGCGACAGTTGGAGAACTATTCAATGACTCTGTTGTCAAGATAGGAACATCAGTGAAATATTTCTCAAACACCGCTTCGACTTCTTGATTTGATTTAGTCAATTCATTATTAATTTTTAATTGATAGTTTGAGTTACGAGGTTTGTCTTTACCGGTTTCGTCGTTAATTATACTCCACGTCATTTTAATTTTATTCTTAGCCGTCTTAATTTTGTTGTTAATATGTAACGATTTGGCTGTGGAACAAACTCTTTTAAACATTTTAGAATAATTTTTGACATATTCTTTAAAAGCATCGGAAAGATTATATGATCTCTGTGATATGTGAAACCCCATATCGGTTTTCAGGAAACCTGCGAGTTCCAGATCGACGAGATCTTCCACGTGGGTGATTCGACGGGTCCAGTGGTCGGGGGACTGCTCGCGAGGGGACAGATCCATGAAGGGGACAACTTGATAATAGGTAACGTTTCATTCTATGCTTGTAAATGCTGTTTGGTGATGATGTAAGGGGATTCATCACAACAGTTCGTGGGCTACGTTACGTATAGTACACTGCTGAAAATCCTGACTATTAGGTAGGAGTTCGCCTGAGTAGTGCTTGCATTACCGTGTTCATATCTGGAGGGTATATGAGATCGGTATAATAGAGAAGTTGCATGTTTTTTAAGTGATTTTTTTTAAAGTTTGCCATAACATATTAAGAAAATTTAAAAATATTTAACATTTGACTTTTCATGTAACTATACAATTAAAAATGGTTTTTTTCTACCGACTTCAAAAAGGAGACTGTACTCAATTCGACTGTATGTTTTTTTTATGTGTGTTACCTCAGAGCTTTTTTCTAAATGAACTGATTTCGATGATTTATTATATTTAAAAGCTGGTACTTCTCATGTGGTCCCATATAAATTTGATCAAGATCTGACCAGTAGTTTTTGATTTATCCTGAATAATGTGTATTTAATTGACTTCGATTCTATTGACGATGTTCTCATTTTATATTTTTATATCTATTACTTGTCAATGTAAAAATGAACAACAACGAGAAAAGTAAGGAAAGGTAAAGGATGGTTTGGAAGAGCATCGTAGTATTTCGAGGTGGTCCCATTTTAATTTGGTGATGTACTAATGAAGTTCGGTGAAATACAACGGGACTCTTCAATAAGTGACAGTAAATTAGCCGTGCAACAGTCACACGTACCTATATGTATTATTAATACAATTTCAAATCGGGTTTTGGTAGCATTTAATAATATAGGATGTTGTGCAACTATAAAACTCAACAAGGTACACACTAAAAAGCTAAAGACAAAGTTATTTCTATGATACAACTTTTGATATGACGATGAAGTCATTATCCACCGGAACTCCGGAATAAAACATAGCATCCTAACCATATTTGGAATTATCGTGAGATGCCCTATGGTCAAAAATGATTTGGACGGTATATCCCGCGTTCCAATTGCGCTACTTGAGGTGTATTATGCGTGGTCCTCATTGTCGGAAGCTAGATTTCGTAGCCTCGTCATTTTGGTCAACAATGTATCTTCATGTTATTTATTTAATAACTAGCTGTTCCCCGCAACTTCGCCCGGGTGTTTTTTGGGGCTTTATTTTTTTGCACGGAACCCTAATTCTTTTTCTAAAATAAAAGTAGCCTAAGTTACACCCTGTGAGATCAGCTATCTGCCAGTGAAAATCCCTTCAAAATCGGTCCAGCCGTTTCGGAGATTAGCCGGAACAAACAGACAGACAGACAGACAAAAACTTTCAAAATTGTATTTTTGTTATTAGTACCGTATATACTTTCATATGCATTTAGTAAAAATCTGTAATTTTGACATTACAAACATACACTTCAATTTTATATATTTGTATAGATGTATAGATTTGTAGGCGTCCAAATCTGATAAAGGTATGCCTTACAAACTTTTAACACGACTTAGTGCAACATATATTTGCCCCTTTTGAAAAGTTTTTCTTTCCAAGGTCGATCACAGCTCTTTCGAGTGTCGTACCCTGTAGTTTGTGAACTGTAACCGCCCAGCTTAATACTATAGGCAGCATACGGCGCCCCACATCTTCGTAAGCCCTTAACTGCCTGAAACGTAGTACTTGATGAAGGTATTGGTATTGTTACGAGCTTGGGGTTCGAGACAATTAAAAACTGCCGAGTGAATTACCAAAATTTACACTTTAATTACACAACACTAATCACAACTTAAAAACACACTAATAATAAAACACAGTTGTACTACTGATCACTTTAGTTCGCAGTTATATCACTTCAAAGTATTCACTTATATCGCCAATTAAATACTGCCTCGGTCGTGGTCTATACCGGCCTTATATAGGGCCTCAGATAGTTTCCAGAACCTTCTACTGTAGAAACATCTAGAATGTTCGAGTACATATCGGTCCCGGAATTTCGAGAAGGATCTTGTCTCTCCTAGTTCTGCTACTCGACACTAGAGGGCGCTAGTGGTAACTAGTGTTGCCATGTACAAGACATTAATAGCGGCGCGCAACAGTATTGTTACGAGCGTGGGGTTTGAGACAATTAAAAACTGCCGAGTGAATTACCAAAATTGACACTTTAATTACAGAGCACTAATTACAACTTAAAACAATTGTACTACTGATCACTTTAGTTCGCAGTTGTATCGCTTCGAACTATTCGCTTATATCGCCAAATCAATACTGCCCCGGTCGCGTTCTATACCGGCCTTATATAGGGCCTCAGGTAGTTTCCAGTACATTCTACTATAGAAACTTCCAGAATGTTCGAGTACATATCGGTCACGATTGTTTGTCTAGTTGTCGATAGTTCTAGAAAGTTCTTCCATGGAAATTTCTGAAAGGATCTTTACTCTCACGGTTCTGTTACTCGATATTAGAGGGCGCTTGTGGTAACTAATGTTGCCCTGTACCTTCAATTAATTGTGGCGCGTAACAGTATGCAACCATTACTATATTTTAGCCTGCGGCCAATAGTTATGTAATCAAATTTAACGTACACGGCTTCTGGTAGCTCTCCATCCTCCAGTTGATCTCTCCTCAAGGCCGGCTGTTTGATTTTTTTATTATACCCATAACTCCATTCACTAGTCCTTCAGAGACGGCGATACTGCGTCTCAACATCACTCGAGATTCGAAGCCAATTCTTACCGATGGCAAAAGACCACCGTAGTTATTGACGTCTTTGGGAATTACGTTCTCTGGTGGTTTTCTACCATATGTCGCTACTTCATCACGAGACATCCTTTTTTTATAACTGGCTTTACGGCTCTGGGTTCCAGCCCTTCTGAGCCTGAAGTTACAATATATAATTATCCATCATAGTAAACTGCTTCACAATATGTTGATGCGTCACATTGAGCAGCCTTTGGGAGATTTTGACGGCAACTTGAGCCAGCAGACAGCTGACAATTGGCGATGGTATCTCAAGGTCCCTAAGCACACATACGCCTTATCTTTAGAATCACATCACCATCGAATCACTTGTTTCACCGTTTCCACTAATAGTTCACATGCGCAGACACTTACTACACACTTATCCACTTCAAACTATTATTTAAACTATAATACAGGAGCAGCAAACCGCCGCCGGTCAAGTTCCCGCCAAAACTCCGAGACTCATCCACTGCGTTGATTAAATAAGTTCGGTGCAGCTTTGCATTTTCCTTGCTTGTGATGTCGTTGTAACCGCCGACTTGCCTGACCGTGGGAAATATACGAACGGCGACTCCGTCCGCAAATTCACCATTTAAAGGCACGTGACGCCGCTCGCATAGTAATCCCATCTGAGCCGTCGTCAATACACCTACCTGTAAGCTGTTCATTAAATCGACGAATTCGCTATCATTGCGCCGTCGCATGTTTATGGTCAGTTCACAAAACGAAAATTGAAGCCAAAATTGACCTCCACTGAAAACCACGATGGCAGCACAAAACACCTATTCTGTTTCACCGGAGGAATCTGAAATATGTCGCCAAATACTAAAATGTTGACTCTTAAACTCTCGTTGTTTTTGTATTCTTGGAGTCTTAGGTGAATTATTCTAAAGTCCTCATAGGAGACCATAGAAATTTCGTCTGTGACTAGCCAATTTTATATAGCGCCATTTACACATTTCAGTCTCGAGTCTGACCTGTATTTTTTGTATGTCATAGTGTTTCTTTTTTCAATCGGATGCAAGAAAATACTATGTAGCGTTTTGCCAAAATTTTGACGAGCGGCAACCGGGGTTAACCTCCCAACTGTATAAAAAGGGTTATTATAGTATAAATGAATACATGGTTTATAATAACCCCTGGGAATGAGGTGATCGCTTCCAAGCAGTTTCTAAAATAAATTTTGTAAATAGTTCGTAATCATTTATATTGTAAAATTTATTTTAAAAAAAAGTCCCGCTGGGTTTCTTGCTGGTTCTTCCCAGGACAGAGGGTGTTTTTCGAACCAGTGGTAAAGTAAAAAATGACTTTCAATAAGAATTACACATGTAATGTATATTGAATAAAAAATATTCTATTCTATTCTATTCTATTCCAACTTCCACAAATCTAGGCTTCAGCAGTATTTGTACTGTTGGCGCTTAACAACGCTTAATATGCTCCACGGTTAATTTCAGCAGTAAATGATTTATGTGTGAGTGATGACCTTCTTGTCGATGCAAATCGTTTTCGATTGCCGTTGAAACTTTCTGGAAATAAATCCTTCTGTTGGATATTTAATCCTCGAATGCTTCCTAGGTACAATTCATCTGCCATGACATAAATTTGTTCACCAACACATAACACGAGAGCATTGCCGATATCGGTTTCACGCGCAGCATTAAGTGCGGTAGTTTGCGCAACAGCCTGTTGTATAACTATTAACTAATTCAGCATGACCAAATTATTCTGCTCTGACGTGATCCTGCAACAGGCGAAGATCTCTTTGGCATCTTATAAAACAGTGTTCAGCGGTTTCATTATCTAATAATAACTCGGCTTCATTACGAAATGGTATGTGGCATACTATTAAACTGTAATAATATCCTTCTTTGTCACTATTAATTCTATAATAGCGGGTACGTAATCTTCCCGTATATTTATTATACGCATTCTCGTATTGTCCTGCAATTTGATATACCTGAGTCTCTTCGAGATATATTTAAAGAAATAAATATATTAACTTTGGCCTATCAGTATATTTACGAAAATTTAATGTATGTTCACAAAAACAAAGGTAGTTTTAGTAAAAAAAGTGATATACATTCTGTAAACACTAGGAACAAACACAAGCTAGTGATTACCAGTTTCTCGACTCCACAGAGTCAGTAATTCATTCTTAGGGCAATGTATACGCTATTACAGCAAGGTCCCGGAAAGTGTACAGGCTTTCTCTATTACCAAGTTTAAATGTTTTGTTAAGCTGAAACTGTATGAAAAGGGTTATTATAGTATAAATGAATACAT